AGAAACGACAATGCACATTTAACGTTGCCAAAGACTTAATACAACACGCAATGAATGTTGCCAAAGAACTTAAGACAACAGGCAACGAACGTTGACAAATAACTTAAGACAACAAGCAACGAACATTGCCAAGGAACTTAATACAATAAGCATTGAAATTGCCAAAGACCTTAATACGACACGCATTGAGCATTGCCAAAGACCTTAATACGACACGCAGCGACCGTTGCCAAAGACCTTAAGACAACACGCAATGAACAATGCGAAAAACTTAGGACAACACGCAAAGAACATTGCCAAAACCTTCCATTCTACGGCAATATCAAAGCCCGCAACATACGCCCGAACGCTGCAAAAGGTCAATGGAACTTTTTTGACCGTTGCAAAAAGCAATTTTTGGTGTAGTGTACATTTGGCCAAACATAAAGACAAACCCGAATCTCAGTTGGAGTACTCTCGAGTAATAGTTAGTCTAATGTATATTAGAAACTACACTCGTCAAAATATTGCGTACGGAGTGAATACGTTTAGTAGATTTAAAATAACCTAAATAATGACCATTGGAAGACATTGACAAGGGCTCTTACGTATCTACGATACACGTCAAATATTGGATTATATTATACTAGATATCTAGCTCTATTAGAAGGATACAGTGATATTAATTAGATATCAGATACACAACACTCAAAATCCATTAGTGGTTATGTTTTTACCATTAGTGGTGTAGCTGTATTTTGTAAGTCCTCTAAACAAATATGTATAGCTCAATTTACGATAGAATTTGAGTTCATAGCTTTAGATAAAGTAGGAAAAGACATTCCATGTTGGTCTAAACCCGTGCCTGCAATTAGTATGCATTGTGTTAGTCAGTCGGCTACGATAGAGCACAAAGTAGTATGTATAATAGTGTAGTATGTATAATGGTAAGTCTCGACATATCCGTTGAAGACAATACAATTAAATAGTTCATTTCAAACGGTGTTATTTTCCATAGATTATGTAAAATCTAGAGAAAATCTTGCGGATCCACTTACCAAGAGATCAAGTATATTGCCCATCAAGGGAAATGGACTTAAAACCTACCTTGTAATGAGTTTTATAATGGTAATCGGATCTTATTGACTGGAGCTCCCAAAATCTTTATTCAGTGGGACAACTAAGTTAAGAAGATTCAAAGAGTACTTCAGAGTTAATTTCTATCCATTCCTATGATAAGAAAAGTGTCATCTACAAAACGTTTTAAGTTAAGTTATACTTTTAATAATTCCAATCTTGAACTATCCAAGTGAGTAATGATAGATACTCTTAATATTATAAATGTGAGGGAACGCTTCTATGAGAATGTTTCAAAGGCTTAAATTCTCTTAAATACTTATGAAATCCAAGGGTTGTTCAGAGCCAAAATAAACACAATAGTGAGAACTCGAAAATGTCAGGGAGGTTATTGTATTGATACTATCACCTTAGTTTACACCAATAGATGACTATTCAAGATATCACGTTCACTGATTAGTGAAGTAAATCCGATAGTACTTTTTATTATGGAAGGTTTAAACCCATAAGGTACTTATCCGAATGCAATAACTGTACGCTTGATCTCTCTATAGGATATGCATTTGTTTATTGCATTAATTTCTGTTCATGTAGGGATTGTTGGAAAATGGGTTTAATTAGTTGGTTTGACCATCTTTTGACCAATTATTTAAGTGGGTCCCTTTAGTTGGATAAAAGAGTTCTTTGGTCAAGTGTATACTACTCCACGAGCAGATTGATGTATGTATTTATTTTCTTAAAACCAATTAAGAGTGAATGATAAAATAAGGCTAACTTGAAGTTGAAATAAATTGGGAATAACATTGATGAAAATTGAAAAATGCTAATCCCTCATAGGAAAGCTAAAATAATAGAAACCACTTTATATTACTCAATTTTGGGACTTGGGTTTGAGCCCCAAGGGATGTCAATAGTTTTTGAAAGGGAGATGACCTGCATGCTAGTAGGTTGAACTAAAGTCCACACGCGTGGCTGTTCATCCAACCGATCGATCGGCTTGACACGACATGACAAGGGCACTAGTTACGGGTCGTGGACTTGGGCCAAGATTGGTATATATATTTAGTAAAATAATATTTGAATTATATTATTCATTTTCATGATTTTTTCTGTGCGCAACATGTGGCATCTTCTAGAAATTGGCGATTGACTGTTTGAACTGCCTGTCCAAATGGGTTGTCTCTGTTCAAGACACAACTTGAGCTGTTGTATCTTTTGGACACAACATTTAAACTTCTATAAATAGGTCCCCATATTTCGGATTTTATTCATTCTAAAAATCTTTCCTGATTTTCTCTCTTGCAAAATATATTCTTTTCATCCAGCATTAGTCCATATTATGCATTTAGTCTTGACTATTTATTTCGTGTATTTTAGTCTTCCAATTTTAGAGAAATCAAAACATGAGTAAGTTCGCAGGATTTGTAATTTGGAGCGCTACTATTACAAATCAAGATCATTGTATCTTAGGAGACAAGTGTCGAAAGACCGTTAGCACCAGTGCTAGCAATATAGTCTTAAGGAAGAGAATCAAACTCTTGCATCAACCATTATAATTTTATTTTATTCCGTTCATTTCGTAAGTAAAAATTATGCATAGCTATTTATTCGCTATTTGAAATATAAATTATTGGACTGTAAAATCAATATATTATCGACAGTTTTTCAAACAAGAATTCACACTTTTGTTATTCAGCAAGAAAGCCAATCATCCCTTCAAGAATTCTAGTAGGTTTCCGTCGTACCCATACAGCAAAGAAGCTCAACCCGACTATCCGCAAACTTAATTGTTGGGCTTTGATGCCAATTTGCCCAAATGCCACAGGGCAAGCAAGTAGTTACAAGTTGCCTGCATTTGCCCAAATGGCTGGTGACACGAGCCATTTCACCAACCAAACGTGCTGGCTTGTGTGGCTTGCCGAGCCACACAGGCCGGCTCGGGTCAAGCCAATGTCCAAAAATAATGCTTGGCCCGAGACTTGAGCTGCAGAGCCACCAGACGCTCGAGTTGGGGACTCAAATTGACGTCCTTTGGCACGATTTTTCTTTCGAAAAATTCTCTCTTTTATTCTTCATTTTGTATTTTTCAATCTTCAACTTCTGGTTGTAGATTCTTGATTTCTTAGGGATATAAACACACTTAAAAGATAATTAAAGTCTTTAATTGAAAAATAGATGTGTTGTTAGTCCATTGTTGCAACTCTGATTTTGTTCTTTTGGTCCGATGTTAGAGTCTGTTGAATGAAATAGAAGGTTATAATATTCTGAGTGCTATTTTGTAATGCATTGATGCCAATGGTGAAAATCCTGTAAGTCTTTTGGGATTTTCTTTAGTTTGTTTTATTATGAGATCAGTAAAGCATTCGATTCGTAATAATAAAGTTATCAGTGTCTTTTGTAGGATTTTTTGGATGATCGATGTGTTGATTGAGGATATTTGATTTTACCTTTCAAATTTAGAAGTTGAAACCTCAAACTTGAAAGTTCTTGACGGATCTCTAAATTTCTTGAATGTTTCTAAAACAGCGACTAGTTGTTGGTTGGATTTCTTCATAATCAACCTATTATTTGTTCATATGGTGATCAAATCTCCATACTACTATTTTGGTTTGCATTCTCGAAACCCTAGTTTGAATATCAGATATATGTTCTTCAACTTTCTGACTTATCATTTGCTTATATGCATATGTACATTTTGTCTCCTTCATTTAATTTTAACCTCTTAAGTATTAATCGTAACCACTGTTTACAATTTTCCCTGACTTGAGAACATGATTATCACAAAATCCTGGTGAAATTGGACATTTGAGAGTTCTTTACACTTTTTTGAAAGTCAATCTTGCATGTCTTTGCGTGTTCGATTTTGGATCAATTTATACTTTGTGTTGATAAATTGGAAATTTGTTGGACTTTCTTGTTTTTGTTGAAAATCCATAAAGTACCCTGGTGCATATTGCATTACTGCTGTTTTACTACAAATATACTGTGGTTTTACAACAAATATGACAAGTTACTTCTGAACTTCGGGTTTTAAACAGGAAAGAGAATTTTCTCACTCTGCAACAAAAAAAAAGAAAGGTGTTCATGTTCAACAAAAAATTTCTAAAGCTACTGAAGAAGATTACCATGCATCTATGAGTACAGATCAAAGAGCTGGGACAAATGAACTTGCCTATACCTCTATCATTTTGCATGTGCGACTTGGAAAAATCGATTCCACTATAATTTCTTTGTAAAACTTAGGAAGACTTTATTTGGTGGACTACCAAACATTCTTTTCTTATTGGAAAGGTTTTTCATTAAAATAAACCCCTCTAAAGAATTAGATGGTAACTTTGATACCTTTAACAAATTAGTTCAAAACATCATACTGAGAAAAAGGTATTTGAGGAGTATAAAGTTGTTATACTTCTTAATGCCATTCCCGAAACCTACAAATACGTCAGGAATGCCATTAAATTTGGCATATACTCTTTCCCTTTCAATTTGCATAAATACTTTTTAGAATAAAGAAATTAAGCTAAGATCTAAAAAAGGTGAGAGTAATACATTTGAGAGTTTGTTTGTAAGG